GCCCTTCTAACCATCTCCAAGCCCTCCGAATCTGTTGGCAATGTCCAAGAGTGGGCACCCCACTATACACTTCCCTCCATGTAGATTCAATTCCATTGAGGACCAGATGCTGAGTACAGCCAGTCAGTCACCTATGAATCCATCTGTTGGTGATGCTGTCTAACCCACATTTTTCTATCTTATCAAGTAGTAAGTTGTGATCTACTTTATCAAATGCCTTACTGTAGTCCAAGTAAATTATATCCACAGCCTTTCTCTGGTCCAATAATTTCGTCACTTGGTCAAAGAATGCAATCAGATTTGTATGGCATGATCTGTTTTTGACAAACCCATGTTGGCTTTTAGTAATGACTTTGTTTGCCTCTAGGTATTCGCTGATTCATTGTTTGATTATCTTTTCCAGAATCTTCCCAGGTATTGAGGTCAGGCTGATAGGTCTTTAATTTCCCGGATCCATTTTTTTCCTTTTTCGAAAATGGGAATTACATCAGCTTTTTTCCAATCCTCTGGTAGTTCCCCAGTGCTCCAGGATCTTAGAAAAATATTGTTAAGTGGTTCTGAGATCACATCTGCCAGTTCCTTGAGTACCTTGGGATGTAATCCTTCTGGTTTTGGTGATTTGAACTCGTGTAAGCTGGACAGGTGCTAACTTACCATTTTCTTGCCTATCATAACTTGTGTTTCTATTCTGTTTTTTATGGCACTGTTTTTGATAGGTTGGACTGTTTTTTCCCTTTGTGTAAATACATATGCAAAAAACGAGTCAAATAGTTCTGCTTTCTCCTCAGTGCTTTTTTTGTAAAAAAAAAAAAAAAAGGTGCAGGAACTCACACATGTCATATAACCCGTCTTGCCTACCCTACAAGGTTCCATCCAAAAAAGGTGCCGGAATTCCGTTCTGGGCATTCTATGACAAAAAAGCCCTGTTTCTCCCTGTTGCTTGTCATCTTCTTGCCACTTTCCCCCACTAATGGACCAATCATTTCCTTCACTTTTGTCTTGTTTTTTACATGTTGAAAGAAGCTTTTTTTGTTTTGTTTTGTTATTTTTGACTTTGGTCACAAGCCTTAGTTCATTTTGAGCCTTAGCTTTCCTCACTTATATTTGCAGGCTTGGGCTATTTGCTGATATTCTGCTTTAGTTATGTGCCCCTCTTTCCACTTTTTATACTTGTCCTTTTTATCTTTCAATTTATCAGAGAGTTTTTTTTATGCGGCCATGCTGGTTTCTTTTGACAGCTGTTAGTTTTCTTCTTTGTTGCTATTGTGCTAGAATGGGCTTTTATTATCTCACTTTTCAACATTTCCCAAGCTTCTTCAGTTGTTTCCCTGTGAGGATTCTCATCCATGGAATCCTTCCCAAGCTTTCTCTAAGTTTATTGAAATTAGCTCTCTTAAAGTCCAAGACTCTAATTTGACTGTGTTCTAATTTGTGCTTCCATAATATTGAATTCCAATATTGCACGATCACTTCCCCCCAAGGTTCCTGGGGCTTCAACACCTTCTATCATTTCTTCTGTCATTTCCCATGTATTTCACTGCGACCCACAAAAGAGTCCGAACGAAAAGCTGTTATGTTCTCTTTCCTTTGAGAACCTCCTAGAATCTAGCCATCACACCATTTTTCAGCCCTTATTCTGAAGTGATCTAACCCTAACTCTAACCCTAGCTCTAACTCTAGGTTCATTTTCATTGTCAATGGGAGTTTGCCATGTATTTCACTGCTGCCCACAAACAAGCCAGAACGAATAGCTTTATGTTCTCTTTCCTTTGAGAACCTCCCAGAATCTACTGGCCATTACACAATTTTTCAGCTCTGACTCTAAAGTGATCTAACCCTAACCCTAGTTTCATTTTCACTGTCAATGAGATGATGATGATGATGATGATGATGATGATGATGATAATAATAATAATAATAATAATAATAATAATAATAATAATAATAATAATAATAATAATAATAATAATAGTAGTAGTAGTAGTAGTAGAGTTGGAAGGGACCTTGGAGGTCATCTAGTCCAACCCCCTGCTCAGGCAGGAAACCTTATACCATTTTGGACAAATGGCTGTCCAGCCTCTTCTTAAAAACTTCCAGTGTTGGAGCATTCACCACTTCTGGAGGCAGGTTGTTCCACTGGTTAATTGTTCTAACTGTCAGGAAGTTTCTCCTTAGTTCTAGGTTGCTTCTCTCCTTGCTTAGTTTCCACCCATTGCTTCTTGTCCTGCCTTCAGGCACCTTGGAGAATAGCTTGACTCCCTCTTCTTTGTGGCAGCCCCTGAGATATTGGAACACTGCTATCATGTCCCCCCCTTGTCCTTCTCTTCATTAAACTAGACATACCCACTTCCAGCAGCCGTTCCTTATATGTTTTAGCCTCCAGTCCCCTAATCATCTTTGTTGTTCTTCTCTGTACTCTTTCTAGAGTCTCAACATCTTTTTTACATCGCGGTGACCAAAACTGGATGCAGTATTCCAGTATAGATTTTGCCATGTATTTCACTGCAGCCCACAAAAGATTCCGATCGAAAAGCAGTTATTTTCTCTATCCTTTGAGAACCTCCTAGAATCTATTCCTCACACCATTTTTCAGCCCTGACTTCCAACTGAACTAACCTTAACTCTAATCCTAGCTCTAATCCTAGTTTCGTTTTCATCCCTAAAGAGTTTTTCCAATGTATTTCACTGCTGTCTACAAGAGTCCAAAAGAAGAGCTCTTATGTTCTCTTTCCTTTGAGAGCCTCCTAGAATCTAGACCTACTGTAACACCATTTTTCACTCGTGACTTTAAAGTGAAGTAACCTAATTCTAACCGTAGTTCTAACCCTAAGTGTAGTTTCATTTTCATAGTGAATGGGATTCTCCCATGTATTTCACTGCCGGTCACAAAAGAGTCCGAACCATATGTAGGGGTGTGTATAGACCCACACCCCTACATATACATAGCAAATAAATATTAAATATTGTCCCTCTTGAATATATAATGGAAGGAGGAAGCGTGAGAGTTCACAAGGTTAATGCTGTATGGAATGAAAGTATGGCTGAATCTGGATGTTCTGCTATGGATACCATGAAGCCTCCTCCTCCCAGAAGGTAACAAGGAAAACAGGTTGTGAAGAGGATGTGTAGTGTCCCAGATAATCTTACGGACCTTGCTCAAGCAACGCTTCTGTGCTATGTCCTGTATGGGAGGGAGGGAACAGCCAATGATCTTTTTGGCCATTCTCACCACTCTCTTCACCGCCTTCCTGTCTGAAGCAGTGATGCTTTCAAACCAGACTGTGAGCCTAAATGGAATTTTCCTCCAATGGGATTTTCCCATGTATTTTACCAGGAAACATAGATAGGGCAGCCTAGAAAAGTCAGTGCCCTCCTAACCATACCCAAGCACTCCGAATTTCTTGGCGATGTCCATTTTGCTCTCCGAGTTCATGGGGACCTAACCCTAACCCTAAGTGGAATTTTCCTCCAATGGGATTTTCCCATGTATTTTACCAGTAAACATAGATAGGGCAGCCTAGAAAAGTCAGAAGGTAACAAGGAAAACAGGTCATGAAGAGGATGTGTAGTGTCCCAGATAATCTTATGGACCCTGCTCAAGCAACGCTTCTGTGCTATGTCCTGAATGGGACGGAGGGAACAGCCAATGATCTTTTCGGCCATTCTCACCACTCTCTGCACCGCCTTCCTGTCTGAAGCAGTGATGCTTCCAAACCAGACTGTGATGCTGTATGACAGATGCTCTCGATTGTCCCCCTGTAGAAAGTGGTCAGGACAGGGGAAGGAAGATGTGCTTTTCTCATGCGACGCAGAAAATACAGACACTGCTGTCCCCGCTTCATCAGTTTCTCACTGTTGAGCGACCAAGCCAGCCTACTCGTTAGCTGCACACCCAGGAATTTGATGCAATTGATGGCAATCAATTACATAATTTATAGAAGTAGTTTCATTGATTTTCCCTAAAAGCTCTTATTACTGAAAGATCATCAGTTCTGGTGTTATGAAAAAGAGCAAAACATGTTTCTCTGCCAAGGTTTTCAAAACACTTTTGTGACCCTGTCCCCTTGTTTTCTTTTTCCAATGTAAAATGCTCCAATCTTTCTTGTTGGCTTGAATACTTAATATGTATTTTTCCTATCTGTTTCTCAGTTTTTTAATATAGCCCTATCAATTTCTGCAATTTATAGTGTGCTATAGGAATTTTATAGAAATCACTTCATTATTCCAGCTCAGGATTTCTTATGCTTTGGGAATTACAAAAAATATCCTAAATGAAGGGGGAGAAACTCAGATTTTTTTAAATATTTGATTTTATTTATTTTGAGTGGATACATCTTAATGCAACTCTTCAGATCAGTATCCCTCCATATATGTTGGACTCCAAATCCCATACCTCCTAATCAATATTGCCTTAGATTGGACAAGGCTAATTGAACATGTAGTCCTTTTTTCCACAGAAAGTATATGGGTATTTTAAACATAAAGATGAAAATTGTGGTTAAATATAAAATCTGATTGAAATATTTGGTTTATTACATGTTAAACTACTTGCAATGTGATACATTCAGAACTAATAACAACTTTTAATTTATGTGTATTGAACTCTGTATGCCGATATAGACTTTCAGCCTTGGGCTTTCCACAATTAAAAATTATACAGGATTTTAATCCTGTGATTCATACAGTTAATCATCTTGGTTTATGAAACTAGCAACTCTCATTTCTTGGACTCTTGCCATGCTACCATTGTTTGTGGCTAAAGAGCCTGGGAAGTGGCTAAGAGCTGGAAGTACAAAGTTTATCTGATTAAACTGAAAAAATGGTGTTCAACAGGATTGAGATTGTTGTTAGTTAAGTCTACTATGTTAAATAAGTTGTGATTATTATTGAGATAATATTTAGAAGCATAAAAACATTACGTCAAAATGTATTTCTTTTACCCAGTGATGTTATTCCTCTTTAGGTCAGAAGCTATTACTGAATGAAGCTGTCCCTTACATTTATTTGGGTTTCCTGCCTTTAAAAGTCCATACATTGCCCACTGATTTTGTCAGAGCATCTTTCACCTCCTTGTTCCTCAGGCTGTAGATCAAAGGATTGAGCATGGGGATCACGACTGTGTAGAACATAGAGGCCCATTTGTCTTGGTCCATGGAATAGCTGGAGGTGGGCCGAATGTACATGAAGACTATGGTCCCGTGGAATATCCCAACAGCTGTCAGGTGAGAAGCACAGGTGGAAAATGCCTTGCGCCTACCCTCAGCCGAGTGCATTCTTAAGATTGTAACCACAATATAAACATAGGATATAAGACTCATACAAATGCTGCATGCTTCAATGAAGCCATCAATGATAAGTAGCACAAGCTCATTAACATAGGTGTCAGAACAGGAGAGTACAAACAGTGGAGGCATATCACAGAAGAAATGATTAATAAGATTTGACCTGCAGAATGTGAGTAGGAATGTAGAGGAAGTGTATATTATTGTATCCATGAAGCCTATGCAATATGCAAAAGCAATCAGTTGTTGGCAGAGCGTTTTGGACATTTTAGCTGAATAGAGAAGTGGATTACAGATAGCCACATACCTGTCATAGGCCATCACAGCCAACAAAACACACTCTATGTCTACAAAAAACACATAGAAAAAGAGCTGTGTAGCACAGGCATTGTAAGAAATCCTTTTAGTTTCACTTAATAAATCAATCAGCATTCTAGGAGCAATGGTTGAGGAACAGCAGAGATCAACAAAGGAAAGGTTGCCCAGGAAGTAATACATGGGTTTGTGAAGTTGGGTACTAGTGCATATCAATAGAATCATCCCAACATTCCCTAACACAGCAATGACATAAATTGAGAGGAAGATAAAAAAAAGAACAAGCTGCATTTTGGGATTGTCTGTGAATCCCTGAAGAATGAATTCAGTAATGACAGAATCATTTCCTTTATCCATGATCTTTCACAATGGGTGCTGGGTTCAGAACATTAGCTGAATCTGAAATGTCTTTTTTTTAATCTATCAAAGGAAGGAAAGAAGATTTGCTTTCTTTAGCGTTCCATCTAACTTGACTTCTCTATAAAAAAATAACCATGAGGACATTTCCACTTTATTCATCTAAATCAGGCATGTCCAACCCATGGCCCAGGGACCACATGTGGCCCTGGACAGCTAGTAATGCAGCACCACAACCCCCCCCCAAAATAAAGGAGATTTGTTATTTATATAGATTAACTATATTATACATTTTGAATGTGGCACAAGACAAATCCTCTTCACTCAGTGTGGACACGCCTGATCTAAATTTGCATTAAAAAAAATACAAAGCAGGGCAGCTATTCTAATATTTATTTCATTTGCTGAGGCATTGTATGTGAGAATTCATATTAATACTCTGTGCTAGTTGTGTGACTATTATTATAAAAAATCTATGATGGAATGAATGTTACAAATATTATATAAATTTTGAGTTGCTGGTAGACCTTCTTTCCTTTTCTTTCTTGAGAAGCCTCTGAATTAAAAAATAAATAAAATAAAATCACCTGCTTTCAGGGTACTGGTAGATTCCAAACACTGTCATATTTCTTGTTTCACTTAATGCATTTGACTGTTCATATTTTGTAGATTATGAGTTTTAAAAACTATTTTCATTGAATACCATTGCTATCCTTCTGATTCTGGGGTGTCTTTTGCATACGTTGAAAGCATTACTGATTTTTATATGGTCTCAAATATGGACAGAAATAATTTCATCTGAAAACATCTAAGTTGAGTACAATAACCTCATCAGATGTAGTTGTCTATATATTAATTCTTTCTTACAAAAGTAACCTACAAATATTTTAATATACAGATTACTAGAGTCTCTTATTTGAAGTCCTTCATTCTGGCTCAAATCCAGAGGCAAATAAGAGGTTTTACTAATTTATGTACTAAAATATTTGTAGGTCAGTTTCATTCATGAGACCTGTACGGCAGCATCCAAAATTAACAGAACCATTTAGATAATTGTAAAAGGGGAGCTGCCTACATCTCCTGCTTAAAAGGTAAGAAGAACAATGAATTAACTGGCTGAGATACTAAACGATCTCATGATAGTTTAGTAATTCTAAACAGATGTCATAGAAAAATCTCCAGTTAGAAAGTGGGAATAACCTGTCACCATTTGGGGGGGGGGGGAAGTGTCTCCTTTTTTTCCTCCCAACTTGTGAAAGATAAAACAAGAAGCACAAGACCATTGCAACTGTGAGAGTTCCTTTTGCTTTTCAAAGACTAGATACACCACAGCATAGAAGAGAACTGTACACAATGTTCCACTGCAGCACACACCTCACTTTATCTCTCTAACATAGGGTCCTGTATATCCCCCCTTCATCATGGCACTCTTTGTTGAAGGGATCTTTACAATTGATTCATCTCTTTCTTTTTCTCTTATATTACTAGAAAATAATCCTTTTCAGCACAGTATAGCAGAATACATCTTTTAATATTCAATAAGTTGTTGTTTTAGTATCTTAACATGAGTTCAGAAGAAATCTTGATCTTAATGGTTCAGTCCAGGATTCTCAAACTTTGCAGAACCACAAATGCACATTGTGGATAGTATCTGTGATATACAGATTAAAATTCTGTTATTAAAAGTAGGTTCTGTATTTAGTTCTTCCCAACTTTGACATCAATGAAATCATTAGTTTTATTCATGGGGTGGTGACAAACAAATTTGAGAACTATTGCATTAATCATTAATTCATATCTTAAAAATGAATAGTTTGCTCTGGTTTTTAAGGCATGGGTTGAAAAAGTGGGACATGAATATACTGTGCTAAGATCAATGGAAGAACAGTTTGGCATCTCTTGTATTTTTATGAATCTAAATTATAATTAATGTAAATTGTTATTTATAGCAATTGCATTTTTTAGAAAGAAATTGGGAGGGTTGTTATTGTGGGGAAAATAGTAAGAAGAATGAGCATTAAGTATGTTCACTATCTTGATTAATTTATAAAAATAATAAAGGCAAGATAAAAATACATACATATATACATACATACATATAATATCTATATTATACCGTACTGGGCTATACTATAGTTTATATTATAGACACATATATTTATAACTTCAGTAATCAAGTTATTCTGGGAACAATGTGAATTAGAACCATGTCAGCATATGAAATCCACATAAATGGCTATGGCTTATATGTATGAAAACTGCAAAGGCAAGATATGAAAGTTTGCCTTTAGCTCCAGTACATGTACTAAAAATCCTTCTCAGAGTTAACAAACATACCTGAAGTTGATGGAGTTTTCTTTCTTACAGAGTCTGTAAGTAGGCAAAAAGATCTTATATGTCTTTTGAGACCATCTGGGATATGATCCCTGATGGACTTCAATATACCGGTTGGATACAAACACTTTAAGTACCAATAATTAACTTTCTTGCTTTGTTGTGATTTATTTTTTTAATTGCAGGTTAGTTGCAAGTGAACAACATATAGGGCATTGTTTTTTTCTGAAAGTTGTATTGTTAAATTAAAATCACTAGTTCTAAAGTTTTGTCTCTTTTTTCCCCCCAGTGGTAATGGCCAGTTGGTCAGTCAGTGTCAGGATTCCTATCAAAATGGAGCAGTCTGCAATCTTATTCCTGATGGAAGATTACCATACACAAATTGTCCTCTTTTTATCTTTCTCAAGAAAACAGTAACAGATGAAGAAGGTCATCTGCATTACCACTTTATAAAAAATGCACTTCTTTCAGAATGGGAAAAAATAAAAGCGAAAATTTATGTTAAGATACCTGGATAGCTTTCAACAATGGACGCATTTGCTTACCCAAATTTAATTAATTATGACAAAGTTGTGACTTATAAAGATATTTTGGACAATGAAGAAAAATTGAAAGACAGACAAGGCCTACAAGAACAAGGTATTGATCTATCATGGTGGCCATATCTGCAAATCCAAACAAGATATGAAAAAGATATTAAAACAATGGGATTTTATAAAGAATAGACAGAATTTGACCAGATACTGTTAAAAACAGATGAAAAGTTGATTAAGAAACTTTATAAATATCTGTTAAGTTTAAAGATGGAGGAAGAACAAGTAAAAGAAACAATGATAACATGGGCAAAGAACTTTGGATATAATATTGAATTAGAAAATTGGCAA